GGCCAGGTAGCTCTTTTGTCTTGTGTCGGAGAGTGTTCCTGAATCCTGACTTTCGGAGGATTCATCAGCGGAACAGTGAATATCATTTCATCACGGGCTGATTGAGTGCATCGATAACGATTGAAACGTTGCCGTTGCCCGTTGCCATTGACGTATCAGCCAGTCACTGTTTTGCCTTCTGCTCCTCTCCAGCCAGAGGTCAAGATGGCTTCACAGGATTTACCTCTCTCGCGGGTTTCCATCGACAGAGATCCCACGATAGGCATCGGTGAGTTTTGGCCCGTGGGGTTTGCTCCCCTTTCGTGTACGGCAACTGATACGTTTCCACAGCTGCCCCTCCAACCACCATAGCGACGGCTCCACGACTTCTAGATGGCTTCGGTGCCAGTAGTGATGAGAAGATCGCGCCCTCAGACGCCTCGGACACATCCGCAGCAGCAACGGCGAAACCAAAGAAAGATGTCGTGGTCAAGGACAAACCGGTCAAGGCCAAGACCTCCACTTACTTCTCGCTCCTCCTCCGATCCGGCGCGGAGCCGTTCGACTACTTCCTGTTCACCATCGGCGTCATCGCAGCAGCCGGCGCCGGAGTTCCATTCCCACTGTTGGCGATCCTATTCGGCGAGCTGGTGGACAACCTCAATTCAACATCATCTTCCTGCGGCAATGACACGAGCCCCGGATGGGGCCTGCAGAGCACTGTCAACACCAAAGTGCTCAACGTGGTGTACGTCACGATCGCGAGTTTCTCGCTGATCTACATCCACTCATTCGCGTTTTCGCTGTTCGGCGAGCGGCTCGTACGGCGGCTGCGGGAGCAGTACTTCACCGCGCTGCTCCGCCAGGAGCCCGCCTTCTTCGATTCGCTGGAGGCCGGTGAGGTCTCGTCGCGGCTCGCCGGAGATCTCGAGGTCATCCAGACCGGAACCTCGGAGAAGGTCGGCATCTGTATCTCGTCGCTGGCGTACTTCATCGCGGCGTATGCGGTCGCCTTCTATAAGGATGCGAAGCTCACGGCAATGCTCGTCGCCGTCATTCCGGCGTTCTTCATTACCACCACTGTCGGCGGCAAGTACGTCAAGAAATTCACCATCGGCATGAGCGATCACATCGCCGGCGCTACGGGAATCGTGGCCGAGAGCTTGGGGAATATGCAGATCGTGCTCGCGTTCAATGCGGGTGACAAGCTGGAGGGTATCTTTGCGAAGCAATTGGAGGCTGCTAGGGATTTGGGGCTGAAGAAGGCGTTCGCATCGGCTACTCAGTTGGGGTCCATGTTCTTCATCGGATATGGAGCGAACGCACTGGCTTTCTATCAGGGAAGTAGACATATTGCCGCTGCTGCCGAAGGTGGAGGCGAAACCGGTGGAACGGTTGGTGCTGTTTACACCGTCATCTTTGTGTTGCTCGATGGTAAGACCTAGCCGGGTGGGATTGCATGTGCGTTGCTTGCTAACCAACGCTATACAGCTTCGTTTATCCTCTCCCAGGTTGCGCCGTTCCTTCAGATCTTTGGGGCAGCAGCAGGTGCATCGCAGAAGCTGATGGCGACCGTTAAACGCGAGTCCATGATCGACGGTACCCACGAGAGAGGCGGCGCATTACCGGACCCGCTCAACGGCGAGCTGGAGCTCCACGATATCTGCTTCACGTATGCGACTCGGCCCGACAGTCAGGTATTGAACAATGTATCGCTGAAGCTCCCGGCAAACCAGCACACGGCCATCGTCGGAGCTTCCGGCAGCGGAAAGTCCACCATAATTTCCCTCCTGGAGCGCCTATACAATCCCACATCGGGGAATATCACTCTCGATGGCGTAGACATCTCGAGCATCAATGTCCGTCTCCTGCGCGGCTCGATGGCACTGGTTCAGCAGGAGCCCACGCTGTTCGATCGTTCGATTCTGGAGAACATCGCGCTGGGTCTAGTCAACTCCAGTCACCCGGAGCACATTCATCTCAAGGGCGCACTACTGGACTCCAGTCTAGCCGACCTCGCTAAATCCATCACCAGCGGCACGCCCATCAGCGCGGCCGTAGCCGCCTGCACCCCCGAAGTCAAGGAAATCTACCAGCACGTCCTCGAAGCGACCGAGCAGGCCGACGCCGCCGCTTTTATTGCGAGCCTTGCCCATGGCGTCGCCACTCGTGTTGGCAGTGCCGGATCGCAGCTGTCGGGTGGTCAGAAGCAGCGGATAGCGCTGGCACGAGCTCTCATCCGGAAGCCGAAGATTCTTTTGCTCGACGAAGCTACCGCTGCCCTGGACTCGAAGAGTGAGACCCTCATCCAGAAGGCTTTGGATAAGGCCGCTATCGGACGCACCACGGTGTCGGTGGCCCACAGACTCTCGACCGTTAAGAAGGCGGATTGGATCGTGGTTATGGAGAAGGGACGCGTACTGGAAAGGGGAACGCACAGGGAACTGACCGAACTCAATGGGCGTTATGCCGAGCTGGTGCGTTTGCAAAGCTTGGTCCACGACAACATCTCGAAGGCGTCCACGATCGCGGAGGAGGAGGCGACCGTGTCCGAGGTTCGGACTACGGAGAAGGCAGCGTTCATCGAGGCGACCAGCGAAAAGACCAAGGAAGAAAATGAAAACCAAATAGCGCCTGCTGCCAAGGGGTTCGACAAACCTACGATGGCGCTTGGCGAAACCATCAGCGGTATCGGTCGTCTCGCGAAGCCACAGACACTGCTCATCATCCTCGGTCTGATCACCTCCGCCATCATCGGAGGTATATACTCCGCCGAGGCGGTAGTGTTTGGAAATACCATCGATGCCTTGAACCCGTGCCAGGGTGCCGACGATGTGCGGTCCGCCGGTAAATTCTTCGGTCTCCTCTTCTTCATACTCGCCCTGGTGGAAGTCTCCTGCTACATCGTCAATGGCTCTTCATTCGGATGGGTGGCCGAGAAGATGCTTTACCGCGTCAGGGTGCTATCGCTTCGCTCTTTGCTCCATCAAGATATGTCATGGCATGAGTCCGACGGCCGCAACCCTACAAACCTCCTTTCCTACATTTCCAGCGACGCCAACTCGCTGGGTGCCCTGACGGGTGTTATCCTGGGCACAGTCTTTACCATCATCGTCAACATGATCACGGGTATCGTACTGGCACACGTGATTGCCTGGAAGATTGCCGTGGTGCTTCTTGCAACGGTTCCGATCCTCCTGGCATCCGGTTTCATGCGTCTCCGCGTCCTCGCGGACTTCCAGACCCGCCACCAGAAAGCTTTCGCCGAGTCCGTCGGCATCACCGTCGAGGCCGTTTCCGCCATCAAGACCATCGCACCGTTCTCCCTCGAGAAGGAATCACTCCAGGTGTATCGGCGTTCGTTGGCGGGTCCCTACAAAGCCACTCTCAAGGCGATCGCGTACGGAAACTTCTGGCTGGCGATGGCATTCTCCATCTCGAACTTAGTCTACGCACTCGCCTACTGGTGGGGAACCAAGCAGATCGTCACGGGTCTCTACAGTCAGACGCAATTCTTCATCGTTCTTCCGGCGCTGCTCTTCTCCGCCCAGTCCTGTGGCCAGATGTTTTCCCTCGCCCCGGATCTGACCAAGGCCCGCATCTCTGCCGGGAACATCCTGCACCTGCTCAGCATCGGTCCGGGAACCATGCTGGAAGAAGACACCACGCACTCCCCACTGTCGCTCCGCAAGAAACCCAACGACCCCGAGAAGGACGTTTCGCACAGCGACACGCACCTGCTGCCGTCGCCAGACGCGCCCTTCCACGGCCTCGACGTAACCTTCACCGACATCTCCTTCTCCTACCCCTCCCGACCGCACGCGCGGGTTCTTAGCTGCCTCAACCTGCACATCCCCGCCGGCTCCTTCGGCGCGCTCGTTGGCCCCTCCGGCGCCGGCAAATCGACGATCCTTCACCTACTCGAGAAATTCTACGCGCCGCACTCCGGACGGATCACCGTGGACGGCCGCGACATTGCCTCACTGTCACCTTTGGCACTTCGCACCGACATCGCACTCGTTCCGCAGGAGGGCATCCTGTTCGCGGGATCCGTACGCTTCAACATCTGCCTGGGCGCGCGACCGGGCCACGAGCCAAGCCACGAGGAGCTCGAGGCCGCGTGCCGCCTCGCAAACATCCACGATACGATCATGGAGCTGCCCGACGGCTACGACACACTGTGTGGGCCTGGCGGCCGCAGCTTCAGCGGTGGGCAGAAGCAACGACTGTCGATTGCCCGCGCGCTGATTAGGAAGCCGCGCCTGCTGCTGCTCGATGAGCCCACGTCTGCGCTGGATGCGGAGGCGGAGAGGGTGCTCCAGGGTGCCCTGGAGGGCGTGATGAAGCGGGGGTGCACGGTTGTCGCGATCGCACATAGGCTGGTCACCGTTAGGCGCGCGAATAGGATCTTTTATATCTCTGGCGGTCAGGTGTCGGATTTTGGAACGCATGAGGAGCTGCTAGGGCGCTGCGAAGGTTATGCGGACAGTGTCAGGGCGCAGATGGTTGAGAGTTGAGGGTTGAAGGTTGAGGATTGAGGATGACGCGGATGAGATATGTGCCATGTGAGAGATGAGATATGTGCCATGTGAGAGATGCGAAAAGCGGTGTGATGTGGTGTGGTGGTTTGAGTGTTTTGCTTTCGTTTATATGTATGCTTTTTTAATTGGTTAGATTATGATATGATTGGATTCTATGATTGCAGTAATGTGTGACTCGATTCTTCGGAGAGCTCGAGTGTTCTCCCCTAAATGTCCGGCTCAATCAACTCCCATTACCTACTCTGCTCTTCACCAACGGCTTTCCGCCATTCTCAGAGAGGTCGGTATGCATGATGTCTCCAAACTTGCTCACGGGTGAACACAACCGATGATACTTCACTAGGCGTTAACTTGCCTTTGGGACGCGTCTTCCGCCGAAGTTTCGGTAGGCTCTCGAGTCGCCTGGGACACAAATACCCCATACTAAAAATTCGTCACGATTTAGATGAACACTTCCAAGTTCCAATCCCAAGGTTCATCAGATTACAACCTCTGCCTCGGGTACGTAGGTACAAACTACCTTCAATCCGGCAAATTCGTCGCGACACGGCAAGAGAAGTGGGTCATCACCGGCGACAATTGCACAGCAAGTATTTACATCTGATACGGAAGTCTGGCCATGCCCCGACATGCACAACCGGCCGGCCAACTGCGAAAGCCATGGAAAGTGGCGCAAAAACATGTTTCCGCCGGTCGTCTACGCAACCAGGCTAACTATCAGGAGCTACCAGCAGCCCACGGCCAAGTCAGCAATTCCTCGCGAGGTGGAGGGTGGGGTATCAGATCCTTCAAAGTGGGGGAGCGTCACCCAGCTTCCCGTTCCATCATGGCTATTTTTCTTCACGGCGTCTCCGATCCGCAGCGCTGTGCGACCAGGAAAGGTTATCAGATCCTTCAATCGATCTGGTCGATTGAGCACCACAAACCCGGAATAACCTGTTCGGGATGCTCCTGCATACAGTACCGCAGATGGCCACAACAAGCACCGCGATGAAACTTGGTTATCAGATCCTTCAATTTCCCCCCATCGGCGCCCACTCTCAAGTGTGAATCCCCGACCCGCCGATGTCCCCATAGGGCACGCCCAGCCGTGGTTGTCGGTAACTATATACTGACCCCCCGACAAAGAAGTGTAGAGAGTCATAACCATGGTGGGAGCCCCGCCCCGGCTCCAGTCGCCACTGTTTTCTGGATCCATCCTCCGGCTCCGGAAGGAAAGAAAAAAATTCAGTTCGCGTTCGTCTGGCTCAGGCGCTAATCGCATCTGATATCGTTAAACACTTTGCCGATCATTGCATCCTGGATCCTTGCCGTAGAGGTTAGTTCTGCATGGGCATGCAGGCCACCATCAGATATCGCTTCGACCGGGGGGAGGTGAGGCATTTTTATCTGATGGTGGTCGGCGCGGGGAAGAGGTGTGGATGTTTGTAGCATGTCGGGACTGGGCAGGCCGTTGAAGCGGGCAGCTTGCACCTTGCAGCTTGCAGGCATGGGTACAACATCGTGATGTGCCGAGGTCCGTATTATTTTTTGACAACGATTGGGCGCCGTGATGACTGATGATGCGGAAAGAATTCCCCACGCGACTCCGTTGCTCACCCGGTTCTGGTCGTCTGTAGTTCATAATTATAGCTGATGGGAAAGTTAGTTTCTTGAATAGAACGGTGATATCCTGTGAGTATCTTGATCTTCCGTGTGTATTGAAGCAACCAGCAAGCAATCATGTCGTCGCCGCAACTGCAGATCCCCGCCGTCCGCCTTCCCCACCCCTACCTGACCGCCTACACTCTCCACCCCGCCGCCGCTCCGCTCTCCTACCGCCTTGTTCTCAGCACATCACAGCCCGCCGACGCGACCCTCCCTCCTCAGCTCCTCCACAATGAGTCTCTCTCCTTCACCTTGCCCGCTACCACGCAAGGCGCCCCCTCCGCCGACAGTGACAACACCCCATACGCGCGCGCCCGCCGCTCCCTCCACTCCATAATTTTCTGGACCGCCGAAACCACACCCACCGTCGGCCAGCTATGGCTCCTGACATATGTGCTCTTCACCTCCTACCACGCACAAGAAACCATCCGCATCACGCTCTCGGGGCCCAACTCCGCGTCACTGCGGAAGGCCGCCCTGGCCGCCTTTCTGGCCCTACCCCACCCCTTCCCCACCACACCCGTAATCCCATACCCGGATACGAGCTGGAGCACCGACGAGTTGCTCCTCTCGCGCTCAACCTTCTGGCAAGGCGCGGGCTCACCGTTCGGCCCGCGCGCCGCCTGGGTCACCGACCCATCCACCCTGCTCCCCACCGCGCCGCAAGTCGTCGAGTACACCTTCACGACGAAGTTCCCTAGCACGCGGGTGTACGTGCGGCACCCGATGCGGCCGTGCAAGCCCGCGCCGGGCAGCACCGTGTACTCGCGGTGGATCCCGCACCTGAACGAGGTGTTTACCATGGTCGCGGTGGACTGGCGCGACGCGGCGCATCTGGATGCGTTCCACACGTGGCAGAACGACCCGCACGTGTCCGCCGGGTGGAATCAGAGCGGGCCGGTCGAGGAGCATAGGAAGTACCTCCAGGATAACGAGGAGGACCCGCATATCCTCTCCGTCCTTGGATCGTTCGACGGCGAGCTCTTTGGGTACTTTGAGGTGTATTGGGGCGCCGAGGACCATCTCGGTGCGTACTATAGGTTTGAGGATTGGGATCGAGGCAGGCACTCGCTCGTTGGAAATCGACGGCTGAGAGGCGCACACAGGGTTCGCGCCTGGTGGAGTGGGCTCATGCATTATTGCTTCTTGGATGACTCACGGACGCAGAGACTCGTCGGTGAGCCCAGAGAGAGCAATAGTGTCGTCGCACAGTATGATCGTGACCACGGCTTCTGGCATGAGGGTACTGTGGACTTACCGCATAAGAGGGCGCATCTGGCGATAGTCACTAGGGAGAGATTTTTCAAGCTGGCGGCACTACATTGGGGTGACGAGAGTGGGATTGAGGGTGAGAGGGTTAAGAAGGTGGAGGCGAAGCTTTAGGTAGTTGGAATGCATGTACATAACCTAATTCACGGGCGATCACGAAAACGCACGGTATGTGTGGCGTAACGTCCATCACCATGATATACAGAGAACAATCGCAAATGCATTTCATAATCATTATGTGCTTTTTTCCCAAAACGATAAACCCAAGACGTGATAACACAACACCAGTACACAAAAGCTACGCCATCATACCGCCCTTGTCCCTCGGCCTTCTCGTCGGCCTGACATCCTTCACCACTGGCGTCCTGACCCCGTTGACGATCTCCTCCGCCGCCGTTCTCAGCCCCGGCTTCAGTATCTTCCCACTGCCTGTCTTGGGCCAATCCTCGACCGCCTCGCCCCGGCCCACCCAGAAGACGTACTGCGGCGCCTTGAACCTTGCAAGCCTCTGCCTACACCAATCTCGAACCTCCTCGTCCGACGTCCTCTCGCCCTGCAAGAAGCACCCCACAGCCTCACCGTACTTCTCATCCTTGACGCCGACGACAGCGGCGGCCTCAATACGGGGGTGCTCGACGAGACGCTCCTCGATCTCAGCGGGGTATATATTCTCTCCGCCGCGAATGACGATATCCTTAAACCTACCGGTGATGACGCAGTGCCCCTCATCATCGAAATACGCCTCATCACCCGTATGTAGCCACCTCCTACCGTCCTCATGCACCCTAAACGTCTCCCTAGTCTTATCCGGTGCGCGAAAGTACCCGCCACTCAGCGCGTAACCAGCTATACACAGCTCTCCACGCACTCCGACGGGCACGGGCGCAGTGGTGCCGGACACCACGACCTTCGCTGATATGTGCGGCATGATCTTGCCGACTGTGCGCAGCCGCAGGTCCAGCCGCGTGTCCGTGTGCGCGTTGAAGCACGTCGGCGACGCCTCCGTCAGCCCGTACGACGATGTGTACTCACGCATGCCCAGCTCCGAGAATAGTCGCTTCATCAATGGCGCGGGGACCGGCGAGCCCGCGATTATCCCTGTGCGCAGCGAGGAGCGCCAGCCTGCTGGCCGAGGCAGGGAGAGCAGCGCCGAGAACATCGTTGGTACGCCGTGAAGGGCTGTGCAGGAGTGGGAGTTTATCGCGGTGAGCACCGCGGACGGGTCGAATGTCTCCGAGGGGAGCACGATCGAGGCGCCGTGGTTGATGCATGCGAGAAGGCCCAGGACTAGGCCGAAGCAGTGGAATAGTGGTGGTGGACAGCAGAGGATGTCGGCCGGGGTGAAGTCCATGCGCTGGCCGATGAAGAGGGAGTTGTTGACCAGATTGTGGTGGGAGAGCATTGCTGCCTTGGGGTTTCCCGTACTGCCGGAGGTGAATTGGAGGTTCACCAGATCATGCATCGAAGTCTTTGCTTCTGCGGCCTTCAGATCCGCCGACTCGACCGCCTGTCCCGCCGTGATCACATCCGCGTACGTCGGGAAATCGGTATAAGTCCCGCGCAGGATCACGACGAGCTCCAGCGTCCCCTGCGGTGTCGTCTGTGTGCTCAGAGACGCCGCATTATCGTGTCTCCCAATCGTCGGCGTGATGAAGAGCACCTTGCACCCCGTGTGTGCCACGGCAAAGTCAAGCTCCGTAGTGGTATATGTGTTGTTCAGCACTACCAGGACTGCGCCGACTCGCGCCACGGCAAAGAACACCGCTACGTACTCGGCGCTGTTGCCTGCCATGATGCCGATGCGGTCGCCGTGCCCGACTCCCAGCGCCAGGAGCCCCCGCGCCAGCCGGTCGGCCTCCCCATCGAGGTCGGCGTAGGTCCATGCTGTGGACGTCCATGGAACCGTGACTGCTGGGCGCTCGGCGAAACGGGTAGCTTGTGTGCGGAGGAGGGAACCGAGCGTCAGCGTCAGCAGCGGTGTCGACGTTGGGCCGTGGAGGACGGAGAGTCGTGGTAGCTCATGGGAGTGGCGGAGGTGGGCGAGTGTTTGCTGGAGACGCTGTAGCGCTGTGCCGGACGGGGAGAAATGGGTTTGTTCTGCCATCTTTGGGGAGAGCTCAATGGACGACGGAGATCTTTGCGATGAGATGTTCTTTCCTTCAAGTGTCTGGTATGTACTCAATGCCGGCTAACTATACCACTGGAGATATTTTCCAGCTTCTCGGGACACTATACAAATCGTGTGTTTATTTAATGTCTGCCTGCTTGCTTGCCATCCTATCCATCCAGTCGATATTCCGAGATGGCTTACCCATGAATTGACCACTGGAGCTAGGAGCCTAAGACTGGCGGCCTCGCCGTGCTTCCGTGAAGACTGATTCTCCAGGGGGGGAAGAGCTGGCAGTGGCCAAAATGCAGGATATCAGTCTCGGATACCCGGAAGATCCGGTCCTCGACTTCCACCTCCACCTCCACTACTCTGCATCCACCCACTCACTCACCACATTTCCCCATTAGCGGTAGGTTTTGTTTCCCACCTTCAGGGAATCCCCGAATGTCAGAGTCAGAATCTCGATCGTGATCGGAGTTGCCCACTCCTGCGTCCTCGGTCTTCGGCGGCACGAGCATGAAGATTAAACCACTGGCCAGTCGAATCGGCTCGCAAGGGCCCCACATGCCATATGCAGGCTTCTAGATACCCTGGAGTTCGTTGATCGCATTCCACCTGAATAAGTTCACCATCGAATATCCGATCATCAGCACTCTGATAGTGCCATGTAACCCCTCATCCTATCTAAGCTTCCTCTTTCCCCACCAACGAACCGAAGGAGTAGGCCACCAGTTAGTAGGCGCCTACCTACTATATCGAGAATAACCAGCCAGAAAAAATCTCTGCTTGCCGATGCTGTATGGAGTAGTCAACGAGCTGCCGCTGGGGGGAGGTCCAAAGGGACATCTGTACCCGATCTAATCAGATCACGCAGGAACGCCATGCATGATGCATCGCACCACTTCCTTTTGCCTCGGATCTGGCCCGCGCAATCAATCAATCTACTACTACTATGAGTACGGTACGTAATCAATTGCTAGTAGTTACCGAGCAATTGCTGGTTGGGTCCTCCGCCGGTTTTCGGTCTCCTCGGAAATCCAGAGTGCGTCTCCGCCCGCTTCCGACCCCATGATCTGATAAATCGTCGCGGCTGGAAGCATCAGATAAAATTTTCCTGCAAGGGCTACCTCTTAGTGAAGTGCGTAGAGTGCGGTACTCTACCTTCCCAAACATCTCCCTCCCACCGACCGGGCACCAGGGCTGGGAAGGGGGAAGGAGGGCAGGGAAGGGGGGGTGCGGTTAAAGTTATCAGATGTGTCTCGAGCGCCGTGCTGTGAGTGTTCACGTCAAGTACGTGATCCATGTTATACGTCATTCTCCTCCGACATGTGCCGACCGACCCCTGGCTGGTCACTGGTGCGGTGCGCTGTGCGATTATCAGATGGTCGATCGGCGTAAATAATACCTTGGCGAGGATTGGAAAAAATAAAAAATAAATATTGGTCGTCTCGGGGATGGAGACTACCGGGCTGGAGGGAGCCTGGACGATGGGCAGGACATATCTGATCCGAAATTCCGCAGGATCTAGGCGAGGGTGTGGTGTGTGCCCTCCCGTCCCCCTCCTGTAACCGCAAACGCTAAACGGCCTACTATTCGTACTTCATGCATGTTTTTGGTCCTGATGCTAGTTTGTCTATCGCAAGATATCTGATGGCGGGGTGGGGGGGTAAAGATCGGGACATCTGATTGTAGCCCGACGAGGGTGGAAACGAAGAGCTCCTCAGATCGGAGACCTCCTCGGGTAGTTTGGGTATGCAAGGAAAAAAATCACCTTGAGCACTCGCCCGCCGCGTCGTCAGGAATAGTAGTGGCTCCAGGCTCCCCGCTCTCGGTCTCCGTGCCTTCTACTCTACATACACGGCGCACTAGAGTACCTGACCAGGGAGAGAAGAGCTCATCTCATCGTCTAGCTTCACAGTGCGCGTGTTCCATTCCATCTCATTGCTCTTTCGACAGGATCACCGTCAGCTCAGGACTGTTCACATCCATCTTTCCCATTGTACCTCTCCCGCAAACCCCATAGCGATTCCGGGTCCCAGTATCCCTCCCTCCCTCCCCCAATCACATAACATAACGAACCGGAAAGGAACCCAGGAATCATGTCAGATTTACAGCGGTATCTGCAGGACCTCGAGGTTCATGCGGGTGGAGAAGCTGTACCGACAACAAGACTTCCAGCTTTACATCCCTCGTCGAGAATTGAGGTCGGCGGTCGGAACGAGCAGATAAGTGTAGATGCCGCATTCGAGGCGGTGGAGAACTGCGTAGTGGGCTTTGCGCGGTTTATTGGGCTGTTGACGGGCACCGACGAGGTGACGCTGGAGGTCGAGGGAAAAAGCCTTGTTGCGGTTGTGCGGAGAGATACCGCAACCACAGAGGTCGTGTTGAGACTTGTGGAAGACACGGTGGTGGAGAGTGATTTCGTATTGCGGGTCGAGGTGTGTGGTGTTGTCTCCGTGCTGGTTGTGAGGTCATTCATTCGTCTGACGGCTGTAGAACACATCAGTATCTCCGGAATCACGATGTCGAACGTCATGCGCTGCGGAAGAAAAGGTATGCTTCTATGCCCGTAGTCATTGGCAGTGGAGGTGTTAACAGCGCCGAGCAGCCTTTCGTTCTCACCCTCACCTCTACCACACTGGACCTCTCCTATGCGCCATCCATTGTACCTCCGACGGCAGCAGCACACCTGCTCTCCGCCGTGGCCTCCTACATGCTCCCATCTGCGCCGCTGCCCGATCTCTCCATCCTGAACCATTCCGCGCAAAAAGCGCCCTGTAACCCCGTATTCACCCTTCTCCACTCCGGCTTCGAACACGCGGCCGCAACATATCCCAGCCATCCCGCGCTCGACTTCCTGACGGGACTTCCAGCCTGCCACGAGGTCTACACGTATGCCGAGCTTAACGCAGTGGCGAACAGAGTAGCGGCGGCAATCCACGCAATGGCGACAGATGAACAGCGGATTGTCCCAGTGTATCTGGGCACCTCGCCGCAGCTGTATATCTCGTATCTCGCCATCCTCAAGTCTGGGCGTGCTTTCTGTCCGTTGCCGATTGATGCGCCGATTGAGGGTCTGAGTGGCATCCTCGCGGATATGGCAAACGGCATTGTCATCGGAAGAGGCGCTGTGCCGGCAAGCATGGAAGGCAGGTGGCTGGATATCGATGCGGCGATCCGTACTCGCGAATCCGCCACGACCACTCCAATCGCCCCAAGAGAGGTCATGCCGGAAGATATCGCGTACGTCCTCTACACCAGCGGCACAGATGGGCGACCGAAGGGCGTGCAGATCTCGCATCTCTCAGCGACGTGTGCGATCGATTCAAACGCGCAAATCCTCCCGCTGTCGACGTTTCCCGCCGTGCCTTCGCGGTGGTTCCAGTTTTCCGCACACACTTTTGGCCCCTCAATCCTTGAGATATTCGTCACTTTGTCGTCGGGCGCGACACTGTGCTCGGCGGAGCGGGAACTGACACTGGCGAACGTGGAAGCGGTGACAACCTCGCTGCGCGCTTCCGTAATGATGGCTACGCCCTCTCTCACGGCCGCGATGAAGCCCGCGCAGATGCCCACACTGCGGAGTCTCTGGGCCATGGGCGAAGTCCTTGGTCGACGCGTCATCGACGGCTTTGCCGAGGACTCGCTCATCCGTGGTATCGTCACCGTGGATGATAGTGAGAATGGACCGAGAGGTCTCACGAACGGATATGGGCCCGCCGAGGGTGCGATAAATTGTACCCTCTTCCCCTTTCCTGCCGACTACAGAGGTACCATAATTGGGCCTCCGCTGCCAACTTGCTCCCTGTTCGTTATTGACCAGGAGAGTGAGAGGCCATGTCCCCTGCCTCTGGGATTGGTCGGGGAGTTGGCGATCGGTGGCCCCCAGGTCGCGATCGGGTACCTCAATCGACCCGAGGAGACGGCACGGGCATTTATCGACTCCGAGTTCGGACGGCTGTACCGGACAGGTGATAGAGCTCGAGTTGTCTGGACACGTGAGGGGGAACCAGTGATCGAGTTCCTGGGACGCATCAGCGAAATAGCTACAATTGGTTCCGGTCGAGTGATTCTAGGTGATGTTGATGCGGCAGTGGAAACTGCACGCGGTGTTTCCCAGGTCGCAACAGTTGTATGCTCCTCAAAACAGGGCGACAAGCTGGTTACTTGCGTCGTGCCAGCGCCGGGGGGATTTGTGGAGGAGGTGTGCGACGATCTGGTCACGGACATGCTCCCGGCACATATGCGGCCGTGGAAATATGTCACGTTCCCGGTCTTGCCGACAAACTCAAGCGGAAGATTGGATCGTGCCGCTCTCACGAACGCCGTCGAAGTGGCATTGAAAGACTGCCACCCATCCTTCACTCCGGCCACCTCCCTGTCGGCGTCGGGCGATGTAACACCCAGTCCCGAGCGCGCAATATCATACTGGAAAACCCAGCTCGATTCATTCTCCCCAGAACCATTCCCGCACCTTACCGGTCTCAAGACCAGTGCAATCCGGCAAGTATCCGAGACAGTCGATATCACATCGAAGATCTCGTCCGCCGACCTTGCGGATAGATCCCGTGCCGTCGATTCATCACCCTTGGCCGCGCTGCAAGCAGCATGGGGACTAATCTTGGCGTCGTACTCCGACACCATGTCTGAGGATAACGTCTTCGGCACTGTTCGCATGGGTGTATTCGACACTGGGTCGGGCGTGGTTCCGACACGCATCAATCTGGCGACCATCTCGAAAGAGTCTCCGGCACGCGTTGAGTCTGTGCTGCAGCACCTCTCGCGCGCAAACGTCGAGGCGCTACAGCACCTGAAGTTTCCAGCCCAGGCTCTGTCGGGCACTCACGGTGAACCGCCATATTCCACGGTTCTCGCCTTCGAGACTCCCGCGAGTGATATCCTAAGCACCACCGCGACATCCTTTGCCGTCGTGATTGACGTCCTTCCTGCAGCGAATGGCTCGTTGAAACTGATAGCGACGTTCAAGGACGAGTTCTTGAGTAGGAGCGGCGCCGAGATCATGTTGCGCCAGATGGATGATGTGTTGATCCACATACTCAGCCACCCAGAGAGCGTGTACACCGACGTGAGATCTGATGTGTCTCCCGAGTTGCGCTGTTCCTTGAATCCCAAGCCTCAGGGCGAGCCGGAGCCGGAAGATTGTTCTGCACTTCAGCTACACGGGCAATTCGAGGAGCATGCCAAAACTCATCCCAGAGATATTGCTTTCATCTTCAAGTATGATCTCGATGATGACTCGTGAGTATTCCCCTGTACTTATGCGAAAAGATCCACTTAGGCTAACACTGGCGTAGTCGCGCGGTCCAATGGACATATGCCGAGCTCAACGAGCGTGCCGATCGACTTGCCACTTACCTGGTACAGACCTACGGCCCGCTGACCGACTGCTGCATTCCTCTGTGTCTCCACAAATCTCCAGAGCTATACATCTCCGTCCTCGCGGTCCTCAAGGCCGGCGGAGGATGGTGTCCTATCGATCCCGCTTTCCCAGCGCAGCGCAAGCGTGATCTTATCCTACGCACCAAAGCGAAGCTTCTCCTGATCACCGACCCTGCGAATGTAGCCGGTGACGCCGTCCCAGCTGGCGTCCCTCTCGTCAACGTCGCCGACGCCCTAAGCCGTATCCCATCCCCAGACTATGCACTCTTGGCCGAGATCAAAGCCGCAGCGAAATCAAACCATCTAGCCTATCTGATCTGGACCAGCGGCACCACCGGTGCACCGAAGGGTGTTCCGATCGAGCACCACTCCGGGGTAGCATCAATGAAAGCGTTGCAAGCGGGAGTTTCGCACGACGTCGAAGGTGGTGTGCGACTGCTCCAGTTCGCATCCTATACGTTCGATGTATTCATCCAGGATTTGTTCTACGCCTGGGGTGTTGGCGGTGTCCTCATAGCGGCTACGCAAGAGATCACGTTCGGAAATATCGCCGGGCTGGCGAACAAGACGAACGCGACTCACGCACACCTGACTCCTGCCTATTCCGCTGGAGTACCCAGGAGCTCGTGCCCCACTTTCCAGGTCATCACGATGATCGGTGAGAAACTGACGCAGAATGTCGCCGACGACTGGGCCGTCAATATGAGGGCGTACAATACCTACGGACCTGCCGAGGCAACCGTCGTGTCTACGATGCGCCAGTTCGGTGGAGTCGAAGACCCTGTCAAGGCCGAGAACGTCGGTATTCCCCTTCCGACGGTTTCCTGCCACGTCCTGCGCAACGGCCGCGTGACGATGCTCGGAGGAGTCGGCGAGCTGGCGCTGGGAGGATCCCATCTCGCGCGTGGATATCTCGACGACTCGGAGAAGACGAACGCCAAGTTCATCTGGGACGAGGAACTGCAAGAGCGCATCTACCTGACCGGCGATATCGTCCGTTTCCTTCACGACGGATCAATCGAATTCGTTGGTCGCACGGACGATCAGGTGAAGCTAGGAGGAATCCGTGTCGAGCTGAGTGAGATCAGTGCCGCAATGTTCAAATGCCATCCACTCGCCGACCGCGTAGAGACAATGTTCATCAACCGTCGCGACCGTCCCAACAAGATCATTGTCACGTTCGTTGCAGCGTCTCAGCTCGCCATGTCGGACCTCAAGCCGAACACAGCCATCACGGGCGACGGTGCAGTGGAAGTCGCTCTTGCTGCCCGAGCCCAAGCACAGGAAATTCTGCCCGAGTACATGGTTCCGGGCCTGATTATGGTTATTCCTTTCGTGCCGCAAACCCCGTCGGCAAAGATTGACCGCAAAGCACTATCGGCAACCTACGAATCGATCGACTTGACTGAGTGGGATCTGAAACTGAATCCCGTCCCCAAGCAGCCAGTGCAGGAATCTCGATCGGTTGTGGAGAGCGTTGTCATCAAGCAGATTGCCGTCTTGTCGGGCATGGAAATTGATTCCATCAATCTCAACGCATCTCTTCGGTCTTTGGGTATCGACTCCATCCGTGCCATTCAACTCGCCGCTTGGATGAAAAAACGCGGCTACACTCTCTCAGTGCTCAACATCATCGAGAGCCGAACCATCAAAGAGCTAGTAGCCTGCATTAAAGTCGAAAACGACGGAAGCGAAAAGGAAATCTCCTCTGGGAAGCTCGAGAAATTTGACGAGCTATGGCACCATTCCGTTGCCCTGAAGATGGGAGACGGTGCTGAGTTCGCCGTGCTCCCCTGCTCTCCGCTCCAGGAGGGCCTGTTGGGCGAAACGATGAAGAACCCATCAGCGTACTGGAGCAACAACTTCTTCACTCTCAGCCGCAAGATTGATCTCGACCGGCTTCACCGAGCTTGGTGCCAAGTAGCCGAACAGACGGAAGCTTTGCGTGCAGCATTTATTCCAACAGCTGAGCTCTCTCACCAGGATCCTGTGTCAAGGACGTTCGTGCAGATCGTCTACAAGCAACATCCAGGTGTCGAGTGGAAGAAAGTATCCAATTCGGTTGATAATCTGCGGGATGAAGCGAAGAGACACGCAGCGGAGATCACCCAGAGAAACCATGAGAGGGCATATAACGCTCCGCTTTGGGCTGTGACAATATTTGAGCGCGATGAGCACTCGGTGATGATGTGGTCACTGCATCACGCATTGCACGATGCGGCGTCGCTGGGGTTCATCATCGGCGACGTGCAGGCCGCTTATCTGGGTTATAACATCGTCCCAAGATCCCAATTGACGGATGCGCTGCGTCTCACAATAACGGAAGAGGAGGCAGACGAGAAGAAGAACGAGGAATTTTGGACAGAAGAGTTGAAAGATTTTGTAGACCCAGAGGCAATCGGCTTCCCCGATCTCACAGGCAAGAAGCCAGACCCATCGAAAGGTACGATACTCCGAGAGATATCCCGAAGCAACAGAAATTGACTGCCGTGAGTAGGTCGCAAAGTATACCTCGAAACCGAGTGCAGAATATCAGCCACAGATATCCAGGCCTTTGCACCACACTTTGATCCCACGTCACTCATATCCATCGTTCGGGCTGCCTGGGGCTGTACGCTCGCCGGCTACCTCGAGACCTCGAACATCGTGATCGGGGAGACCCTCTCCGAGCGCATTCAGGACGCCACACTATCCAACACTATTGCGCCGCTCATCAGTGTCGTCCCAGTCCCCATCCAGGCACACGCAACCGCACGCGAGATTCTCGAAAACCAATCACGTCTCTCGCGTGATGTGTGGAAACACCGGCACATTCTTCCCACCACTATGCGCAAAGTGCTGCAGCGACCGCAGTCCGGCGCTCTGTACCCAGCCATGTTCGTGTTCCACCCCAACTCCGAAGGTGCTTCGGAGGTCATTTCGGCGATCTGGACGCCAATGGAGGATATCGTCGGGCTTTCGGTCGAGCACGGTCTTGCGCTGGACGTGTTCATCGAGGCGGACGGTCAATACCGGCTGGTCTTCTCTGCCGAGGAAAGCCTTATGGGAAACGCTCAGCTGGAACTTCTCATGCGCCAGGTGGAGGCCTACGTCAAGTTAATGGCCATGCATGCCGATATGCCCGTACCAGAGCTCGTCCCATCATTTCCGGAAGAGCTGCTGTCGATCGCCCGTCCAGTTGTTAGCGAGGCCGTTCGCAGTGCCTATGAGACCGACCCGATGTCTTGGGTTGAGTACTACGCCGAGAAGCATCCAGAGTGGCTAGCGGCAGAGGTTGCCGATTCCATCACCAGCGAGGGAGCGCAAACCAGAGCTTGGAGCTACGCACAACTCAACGCGCAGGCCAATCGCATCGCAGGTTTTATCGACTCATGCGATATTGGCCGGAATCGAATGGTTGCACTCTGTCTCCCACGGACGCTCGAAGCGTATGCTCCGATCGCCGGTGTATTCAAGGCTGGGTGTGGTTATCTTTCGATCGACGAAGGACTCCCCGCAGAGCGTAAAGGTCTGCTGTTGGAAGACAGCAACGCGGGAATCCTGTTTACAACCACCGAGTTGATAAAAACCTTCCCCGAGCTCCCTGCCGGCGTGGTAACTATCAATATCGACGATCCCGAGTTCGTCACGATGCTGGCGACCTACAGCGCAGTCAACAGAAGCCGAGACACGCGCCGCGATGACATTTCCTACCTTCTGTACACATCCGGTTCCACCGGGAAGCCAAAGGGCGTCCAGGTCTCTCGCGGTAATCTGAGTGCCTTCGTCGAGGCACAGTCCGACTTCATATGTCGCGAGGTACCCGCTACCCTCGAGCTTGGAGGGAAAGGAAAATATCTCGGCCTTGCTAGTAGAGCTTTCGATGTGCACGTCGCAGAGATGTTTTTGGCGTGGCGCCACGGCTTGGCCACTGTTACCGCACTGCGATCGATGCTCCTCGATGACATCGGACTGGCACTTGCCCAGCTGAAAGTTACTCACGCCAGCTTTGTGCCATCGCTCCTCGATCAAGCGGATCTTGTACCTGCGGACGTTCCAACCCTCCGCTTCATGGGTGTTGGTGGCGAGAAGATCTCGCAGCGCGTGTTGGACACCTGGGCAGCCAGTAAAACTGTCTCTCTCGTCAATGCCTACGGTCCGACGGAAGTCACCATCTGTTGCAGTTCTTTGCGCGTCAGCCCCGATTCAACCGTAAGGAACATCGGACACTTGATCGGAAATCTCGTCGGTTACGTCTTCGTTCCCGGAACTTTCATCCCCACAAAGCGCGGACAGCCCGGAGAGCTATGTGTCAGCGGTGACCTCGTAGCCCTCGGCTACTACCAACGGCCAGAGGCAAAGGGCTTCGTCGATTACAATGGCGCACGCCTCTACCGCACCGGTGACATGGTGCGCCTTCTATCCGGCGATGCTATCGAGTACCTCGGACGCAGCGATGACCAAGCCAAGATCCGTGGTCAGAGACTAGAACTTGGAGAGGTTTCGGAGGGAATTCGTGCTTCGGCGAAGGAAGAGCTGGATGTTGCCACTCTCATCCTCCAGCATCCGGAATTGTCGCGGCCACAACTCGCGTGTTTTGTCGCCCGGTCAGCTGATCGTGCTACATTTTCGGGCCACGCCCCCCAGTTCCTGGTGAAGGACTACCAAGTCTTCGCCCTCGAGTTGCAGGCTGGATGTCGGCAGAAGCTGCCTGCATACATGGTGCCCGATGTCGTGATCCCGATCAACATCATGCCACTCGCCCCGATGTCCGGAAAAGCGGACGCAAAACTGCTCAAAGCTTTGTTTTCTGGGATTCCGCTTTCAGATCTACTTCGAGGATCTGGTGTCCGGCAGAGTGCCGCCTCACGGGAGTTGACGCAAGCTGAGATGGAGATCCGGGATATGATCGCGAAGATCATCAAGATTGAGCCGGATCACGTTTTCCATGCCTCCAACATTTTCGAGCTCGGCATTGATAGTCTCAGCGCGATCACCCTCTCGTTGAAGATGAAGAACATCGGCTACAACTCATCAGTTGCCAGCGTTCTCGGACATCCCACCATCGAAGAACTTGCCGCCCTGCCACGCAATACCGTCGCCAGAGAAAATTCAGCTGAAAACGAGCTTCTATTCGCTCGGGAGCAGCTACGGGTTTTTGATGAGCAATTGCGACCACGTATTTCTTCGATAGTTGGTGTTTCCGCAGCCCCCATTGCGGCGGTGAGACCTACTTTGCCGCTGCAGGAGGGAATCATCGCACGGTCGATAAACAGCGAGAGCGGGCCCATCTATGTCAATCACGTCATCCTCAAGCTGGGTAGCGAGGTGGACCTGGAGAAACTCCGTCAGGCATGGAAGGAAACCATCGATAGCAACGAGATCCTACGCACATGCTTCTGCCAACCCGACGATGCGTTCGTCCAGGTCGTTCTCTCTGCTGGTACTCTCGAAGAAGAATGGCAGGAGTCTTCCGCCGAGACAGTCGATGATGCTCTCGCCGCTTTCCGTCGCCGACAGAATGACGTTGCCACGGAGATTATTTCTCAGCTTCATCAGAGACCGCCGCTGAGACTCAACCTGTCGCGCACTAGGTCTGACTCGTCCCTGCTGTTCATCTCGATGCATCACTCGATCTATGATGGCGAGTCCTTCATGATGTTGTTGGACGAGGTTTCCAGACACTATCAATCCACAGCAGTCCCTGAGCGGGTCGCCTTCAGCTCGTTCCTTGAGCATTTGGCATCTCAGAGCATCGAGAAGGCGAAGGATTTCTGGACTAACTCCCTCACTGATTGCCGCTCCACATTGCTGTCAACGGAGACAGGGTATCGCAAAGAAGAGGAGGTCTTCTTCTCCGAACATGTGATGTCACGTCCACTTTCTGCGCTTGAAGCGTGCGCGTCGAGCATGCGGTGCACCTTGCCATCGCTGGCACAGTTAGTCTTCGGTATCCTCCTGGCCCAGCGCGTTGGCCACAATGATGTCATCTTCGGCTCTGTCCTCTCGGGCCGCACGGCAACTGTGGACCTCGCCGAGATGATATTGGCACCCTTAGTCACCACGATCCCGCAACGTGTCAAGCTCCAGAGCGGCACGTCAACGATCGCCGAGTTGGCAGAGGATTACCAAAAGTCGAACGCTCTGTGCTTGGAGTACCAGCACATCTCGTTGAGACAGATTCAGCGCTGGGCCGGTGCTGACAAACCGTTGTTTGACACCCTGTTTTCGTTCACCCGCAAGGTGGCCACTCCCGGTGCTGGCTTGTGGGAGGAGATTGAGAGTGCAACCGTGGCGGACTACCCTTTTGCCATTGAGTTCGAGGCGGATACGGAAGAGAACAAGTTGGTTGCGCGCGTGGGCTTCACGCCGTCGTACGGAACTGCGGCAGAGGTGAAGGTAGTATTGGAGAAGTTTGATTTCCTGCTTCAGGAGATCGAGCATGGGCATGCAACGTTGAAGCTTAGCAGTCTGGGTGTGTCGGACTTGAATACTGACATCGAGGACCGCAAAACGGATGTTTACGATGAAGTCTCGTGGTCTTCTACAGAGACCACCATGCGCGAACTTGCTGCAGAGATTTGCCAGCTTCCACTCGCTCAAATTACTAAAGGTGCGACGTTTTATAGCCTGGGCATCGACTCCGTCACTGCTATCCGGTTCGCTCGCAGACTGAGGGAGATGGATATCGCGGTGTCATCATCGGACGTGATTCGCTTCCCCTCGATCGGTGCACTGTCAAGGCATGTGGCGCAGGTGGAGGATGAGGCCAGTCCTTCGGTGGAAGCGCCAGCCATCAATATCACCGAAGCATTGAAACGAAGCAACATCGAAGTTGACTACGAGTCAATTGAAGCCGTCTATACTTGCACGCCACTTCAGAGTGGAATGATAACCCAAACACTTGCGTCCGATGGCCGACTCTATGTCCACCACCATTGCGTCAAACTAGACTCCAGCGTCGATCTGCTTCGGCTTCAGAGCTCCTGGTTTAATGTGGTTGAGAAGACTGATGTCCTTCGCACGTCATTCTATCACTCGCCCACATCCGAAAATCCCTGGACAGCGCTGGTCCGCAAAACATCGCCCGCAAAAGTGATAGAGGACGATGCTTCCGTCTCTTTTGACCAGACTCTGGCAGACATCGTGAATAACGTGGTATTTACCGAAGAACACGACTTCCACAATCCTCCTGCTCAGGCCAGGATCGTCCGAACCCCGACGGACAATTACTTCGTCCTTTCCCTTCATCACAGTCTTTACGACGGTGTTTCAATTCCATTTGTTTTCCACGATTTGGCATCGGCTTATCTTGAGGGCTGTAAGTTCACCCCCACATCATTCCGAAAAACCGGAAGTTAATAATCGCAGCTTTTCCTCGCCGCCGCCCCTTTTCCGACGCTGCGGCCCTCATCGCTCAGCGCAAAGACGATGCGGCCGAATACTGGCTTCGCACCATCTCGGATTATTCGGTCATTCACCTAGCCCGTTTAACCGAGGGCGAGAGCTCGTCCGCGATCCACCAAGCATCGAAGACGCTGGGCCCAACCACCGCCGAAATCTTAGCCGGCTGCAAGAGCCTGGGAGTTACGCTTCAGAGCGTGCTACTTTTGGCCTGGGGCAAGACGCTGTCTTCGCTCGTTGGCCGTCGCGACATCGTGTTTGGCCAGGTCGTTTCCGGTCGTACTTTGCCGCTCGACGGAGTGGAAGGCATCTCTGGTCCCCTCTTCAACACCGTTCCTATGCGCATCCGGCTTCCGAACAACCTGCAGACCAACGAGAGCGCTGTATCGCAGATCCAACTTGCCGCCGCCGAGTCGCAGGTCCATCAACACGCATCCCTGCGCACCATCCAGAACAGGTGGCGTGCGGTAAGCGGCGGCACCGCTGGAGTTCTCTTCGACACACTGTTAGTGTTCCAAAAGGTGGAGGAGGACGATCGGGAAACCTCTAGTCTCTGGACTCCGGTTGAAGTGGAGACTGGTGAAGTGCAAGCGGAATATCCCCTCAACATCGAGATTGTTCAGGGAACTCAAAATGTGGTTCTGCAAGCTGCAGCTCAAGGAGAGTTTATGACAAATGAGAAGTTAAAAGACGTCTTGGAGGAACTTTCCTTGACGGTACTGGATATCCTACAGAACCCCGCTCGCTTCGCAACTGCTTTCCCTGCCAGTCTGCACACTCTTCCGGTCGTCATCTCCGACTCGATCGCCGTGAAGGGTGACGCGTTAGATGCAAGGACCGAGTTCAACCCCGATGAGGCCGCGATCAGAAAGATCATCTCAGAGATTGCTTCTTTCCCGAGTGAAAACATCACCCTCCGTGTAAGTATCTACGCGTACGGCATTGACTCCATATCGGCCATTCGCGTCGCTGCGGCGTGTCGCAAGCAGGGAATTAAGCTCAGCGTCGCCGACATCCTCCAGGGAGGTTCCATCGAGGGCATCTGTGCACGATTCGCCAGACTTCAGAAGCCTCCGACTTCAGAAGAGGCCACTGTTCTTGTGTCACCGGTCGAAAAGGATCGCGCCCTCGCCATCCTCAGTCTCTCCGATGATGCGGTGGAGACAGTACTACCCGTCCTTGCTGGCCAATTCTTTCATCTCGAGGGTTGGCTCAAGTGCGGACGGACGTCCTACCAGCCGACCTGGACTTTTGCGGCAAAAGAGCGTCTGAATATCGACCGTCTCCAGGTGGCATGGCAGGCACTACTCCACCGCCACCAAATCCTCCGCACCGCCTTTGCCGCCGTCTCGCCCGAGAAGGTGTTGCAGGTTATCCTGAAGCCTTCCACTCTGGCCGAGTCGCATGGGTGGTCTTTCGAGGAAGTAGAAGGGGAAGCGACTCCCGCCGTGAAGAAGGCGGTGTACGACCTGGCACACTCCCCGCTGGATATGTTTACCCCTCCTGTCAGGCTGACGGTCCTCCGCGGAGACGACTTTGACGCGGTGCTATTCAACTTCCATCACGCCGTGTACGATGCCTGGAGCATGCCTTCGCTGATCTCGGACTTGATCTCACTCTACTCGGGAACCGGATGCACGTCGAATGCCGCGTTCGCGACCTTCGCCGAGTTCGTTGCAACCACGCGCTCCAAGTCGGAAGAAGAATCATACTGGAAGGCGTCTCTAGCCGCAGCCGAGTCGACCGTGATCGGGCCTACCTACAACGCATCGCCATGTGCGTCCGCCGAGCAAACACTCCTGATCGTCCCCGGCGTCGTCGAGAACTACACGTCACTTGAAGCGCGCTGCAAGACCGCTGGCATGGCGTTATCGAGCCTCGTTCTCACCTCTTTCTCGCGCGTTCTCGCCGCCATGACAGAAACGCGAAACCCCACCTTCGGCATCTACCAAGTGGGCCGATCCGCCTCCTTTGACGGGCTGGAGACGCTAGCGGGCCCCTGCCTGAACCTGCTCCCACTCACCGTTCCCGCGGACCTGTCAGCTCGTGACGCAGCAAAAACGATCCAAGCCGAACTCGGCAGCCGATCGGCATTCGAGCAGACGTCTGTCCGCGACGTCCTCCGGTACCACTCCGGCCCGCCGCTCGAGTTCAACGTCTTTGTCAATCTCCTCTGGCACACGGAGAAGATGCGCGAGGATCCGGCGGCGCTGCTGAAACATATCACGGTGGGCGCGCCCGCGGATTTCTGCAGTGAGGGGCCGTTGAACGGAATTACCGCGCTGGATGCCCTCGATGTAACGGGATTTCCGCGCCATCCGGTCTTTGTCGACCTCGGGCCGAACTTGGAGACGGATACCATCGATTTCGGGGTTAGGTGCGATAGGGTGCTGATGAACGAAGAGGAGGTGCAAGCGTTTGTGGCAAGGGTGGGCGAAGAGTTGATGGCTGCGGTAGAGGAATTGTAGGTAGTGTTGGATGGTAGTGGAGACGGAACATACAGACGTGAAATCTGCATTGCTGGCTTTGGGTTACACAGATGCGCAATTTTATGCGCATTCCGTTCGAAGATTTTCTAGGGGGTTTTCAAGGGTTTTCTTAAGCTGTGGATATTGGGGCGTTTTTTTAAGATTTTTTTGTCTTTTGGCTGTATGTTATAGGGGTAGTTTTTCCTTTTCGTGTAGTCTGAATGTTCGTTATTGTGGGCAAAAAATGGTGGCCGGGAGGCTTTTGCAGATGTGACTCGTGAACACGCGACATGGTCCGGTACCTACGCACTGTTCGAAATATGTACACACGATCAAATTAGTATCGTCCAAATTACAGCGTCCCTTCAGCTCACACTTCAAGCCCGCCGAAACTCCAACAGCGATGACAAGTCTTGCACACAATATCACTCGCTCGTCCGAGGTTTTCTGTCCGGCTCGGTTTCACGCGGACCCGCCGAGCCTCAGTGTCCCTGCCGCTCTCCTATCCCAGTAGTGGCGGAGTGTTGGAGGAGCTGTCGGTAGAAACCCCGAATGTGGTTGGTAGTGGGCATCAACGTTGGTGGGCATTGCCACCACCACGAGAGGAGCAAATGTAGGATAGATGGAGGATCTGATAAGATGGAAGTAGGAGAGGCTAGTCGGATCAGTGGATCTGAATGGTGGTGTCAGCTAAACTAGCCGGATCGAGTGACATGGAACGTTGTAGGCAGCGGAGGAGAATCATATTAGATGGCTCTTCGAAGTTGAATACAACCTCAACTTCTTCATCATTTTCCATTTTCGCCGTCTTGCTTCCAGGATTACGCCAATATGGCTGGGTCGACCACTGACCGAAGATTGGGGGGGCACTTAAACTGGCACCCGCGGGGTTTCTTCTTGTTTCTTGATCACCTATCGAATAGACACTCAACCCCTCATGTCCTCTCTCTCCTGTGTGCGCTTCTTTTCTCTTCGAGTCTGTAGAGGTATTGGCAAAGAGCCCTCACAAAACCGTTCTGTCCACCTATGATATCGACGCCTCTCCACCACAATGGAAGTGTCCTCGCAACGGCCAATCTTTTTTCGTCCGTCTAATTAGTAATCATTGATTGTTTGCACGCTATCCAGATCATGACGATATGCACACGCTTTTTCCTCGTCCACCGTGCAGACTCGCCCTCGCCGCCCGATTCCAGCTGGGTACTTAGTCATGCCTGCCGGCCAGAAAGCTACGACGAGTGATGGCGGCGTGAAGTAGCGATGCGTATGGCATGAGCGCGGCACGCTCGCTCGCGCAGAAGGCGCAGGTAACTGACTCGCAACAGCTACGTCAAGCCACCATCTTCCTGCGTGCACGGGAGCCGGCAGCGGAGAGAGTTCCCGACTTGTGGATATCACACGCCTCGACCTGCAGTTCCGCGGCCGTCGTACCTTGATTCCCTTCCAAGAGTCCGCACTGTCACGGTCTCCATGGGGATATCGCGTCTCTTCGTGATCACTCGTCTTTCCAGCCCACTGTTTACATCCCGTGGTCCTACGAGGTATGTATCTTGCATGTTGCAAGTTGTAATCCTGCAATCCTGCACTCCCCAGGCGCTCACGCAGACCCATTCAAGCCGGGACTTCCAAGTTCCACCTACCTACCCTCTCCCCCTTCGGTCTGGTACTCTGCTCCAGAACTGCTTCTCGATGCCATGCCCTCCCCCCCACCCCCCAGAGACTCCGACGCAGCACCGATGCACCACGATCCAGACAGTGCGCCATTAATCTCCAGTCTCCACTCTCCACCCACGCATCGACGCTGCCATCCCACGCCGCCCATCGACACGACCATCCCACGCCGCCATCCCACCAGCTCGTACGTAAACGCTACCGAACGGCGCACTTGCACTTGTTGCACTTGTTCCAGACAGTCAGAGCGCAGGGCACCGTGTGTCATAGACTCATAGCGATCCGCCGATGGGATGGGCGGGAGTGGGATTGCGGGAGTCGGAGTGGGAGTGGGAGTGTGGGGGGATGCCAGGTGTAAGGTGTAAAGTGTAAGGTGTAAGATTTAAAGCTCCCGCACTTATGAGTGATCGATCGCGGTATGGTAACTATCGTAACTATCGTTGCGAGGAGGATGAGCAGGAACATAGCACGGGGATGCGGGAAGGGTTCTTAGCTGGGCGACACTACCCTGCTGATGAAGTGGGGGGAGGATGGAAACGTATGCATAACGGGGATATTCGCTCACGGGCGTCGGGCGTGAGTTTTCACGAGCGAGTCCATATCCACGAGTCCATGAGTCCACAAGACAATGACAGCTGGTGGGGTATGGAGTTATTGGGGAGGAAAGCGGAGTTCCGGAAGCCCGTGGGTTCTCACGATGACTCTGGAGCAGAGATCTGGATACTCATTCACCCCATAACATAGCAATTACGAACCTATTACCTTTGTGTACGAAACACCGGCCCCGCCCCCGCCCCCAAAGCGATCAATGATGTTCCATGGCTGCGTATATTATCCGGCATGTACAGAGCCACAACCCCCCACACACACCCGCATCTGGACAAAGATCCTGAGAGAGAGAGAGAGAACATCAATGTATTGTCGCATGCGGCCTTTACTAGGTAGACTATGCCGACCAGACGTAGATCCTGCGGACATCGGTCTGCGAGCCCGCGCGCGCGGCGAGTGACATGTGGTGCACGCACGCATTTAGTGCCCCACTCACCCATCCACCACCACCGCCGGTAAGTAGAGTACCCACACACCCGCATGGGAGTACTATCGGCAGCGGTGCGGTTCGGTGGGTAGGGAATAAGCGAGCACGCGTCTGAGGGCACCGCATGCCCTATATATCAATATCGCAGAGTAGCGCCCCGGTCTCCACCTTTCCCCACGCACGCGTGGGGGTTACTGTCACGGCCGTGTTACGGGCTGTGATGCGTATATCGACGACGACGGGTGGCGGCTGCTGTCCGCTGGCCGTTGGGAAAACAGTGGGGGGCACGGTCTGTTTGCTGGTGGTGTGGTGGCGGGATATATCATGTATGTTGTTTAGAGTGCGCACTGCGGCCTGCAAGATTGGATTCGTCTAGATGTTTCCTGCAGCGATGCTACGTTACCTACTCCCTGCCTGCGGCCTGCCTGCCTACTCAGGGTACAGGGCTGTGAGGGTTGTGAGCATCCGCCATTGCGTAACGCTTTCACAAACGCCTGGGGCTTCGACCAGACAGGACAGCTGGCAGACATTTACTGAAGCTTAGAAGCTGTCAGGCGACTGCTTCACGATGACTTCCTAATTCCAATGAACTATGTATGTACATACATTATACATAGATACATCACAATAAGCGGAGGAGGGACGGAGGGCATCCGAACAGCTTCACATCACTTCACCGGATCATCTGGTAGCGTACCCGAGCGCCTGCCTGGGGCCTACATAGGACGATGCTGGATGCTGAATGCAGAAGTCCAGCTCCCCGTGTCGTGGAGAATGTCGAGGCTCGATGAGCCGGCTGACTGGCCGGCAAGCGGGTAAGATGGGTTTCAATGTTCATTCGATGCTCGATTCCAGTATTTTCTTTTTTGTTCTTTTTTCACATGGGAGGAGGACACTCCTCGATATGATGGATACTTGGGTATGTACCTTGGTATCGGTCGCATTGGCCGGGGGTTGCTATGTGCTATGTAGTAGCTCGCACGATGTCTCCACAGCTATTTCAAGCTGCCATACCGAACTGAGTAACCGTACTGCGGGTTGCTCCCGCTGATCTTCGCTTTGGCGTCATTGGCTCCACCAACCCGCACGCTTGTGCACCACCAACACTCATCCCCCACCCCCGGCTATATGGCGTATACGTATCTCATGTACTCCATATAGAGTATAGTGGAGTGTTTTAGTGGTGGTAGCTGTAGCTGTCTGAATGTCTCTGGTGAAGAATGCGGGGTAGACGTGTCCTCGCAAGTTTGCAACAACATCAACAGCAGCAGCAACAGCAACAACAGCAGCAGCAACAGCAACAACACACCGTTGCAATATACGGGTGCACGAGTAGTCAACTCGTTAACGACAGCATTGGTAGAAACCCAGCAGGGGCTCGATGAGCATTGAACTCACCTCGCCCCACTCCACCCATCCACACCCACATTCACAACAGTTCTGACACTTTTTCCTCCATCTGACTCGGACCGGCCGCGAACCAGCGGCGTGTGGAGACGAACGAACAGCATGTCAGCAACTGCGGGTCGGTTAATGGACTGCAACTGCTCCCGTCTGGGGTCTGTGGGGTGCCGGGGGGTGGTCGTACGTACAGGGGCGTGTGTGGGGGGTGAATTCCCTCATTCGACTGTTAACTACACACCTACATAACCATGTGAGTTGGTCGATGCTTACTTGCAGTAACTAAATAACAGTTGGTTGGTTGGTTGGGGACCACTGCGGAGTGAGTGGTGATATGTAGCAGCGCGCACGGGCCCACTACTGGATACATGTAACATACCCAAGTAGTTAGAGTACAATACATAGGGTACTTCTTACCGGTGGACATGGATGGCCTCAACGACAGTGTTTATACATACCAACATACATACACACCTCATACTACTCTACCGACATTACATGCCACGAACGCGTGGGACAGCGACCAACCAGCGTGCCGGACGCGGCCAAGATGTGGGGTGGCCATAGCGAGTCCACTCAAACCACTCAATTCTCTCCATATTATCACCAGCATCATCATCAGCAGCAACAGCAGCAGCAGCAACAAAAACCCGTTGTAACTTGTCGATCCGTATCCGTCGTGTGCGGAAGGTACTATACTATACTATACTCTACTCTAGAGCACAGTCCATCGACGCCAGCTCAAGTGGAGTCGAGTGGAGTGGACTGAGTGGAGTCACTGGAGTGGATTGAGTGGAGTGGAGTACAGCTGTCGTCGCGGTGTGTAGATATATTAAACGCTGTCTCGGCCAGCTCCAGCTCCAGCCTCCAGTCCGCCCCCCACGCTCGACTTCGAATGCAGCGTATATTTCGAGATGGGCACTGCAGCAGCGTGACCTCTCTCTCTCGCTCGGTCAGGACCGGACGACTGACGACCAGCTACCCAGAGTGGAGTACCTACTGCGGCGTGGTTAGCGAGCAGCCATCTCGGCCAGTCCGGGATGCTGATCTGATCCTCACTCACAACGCACGACTACGACCATCACCATCGCCTCGTCCGCTCACATAGCTCTCTATGGAGTCTGCGTGGCCGTTGCGGTTCCCACTTTTCCCCTGTCGGTGGGTGGG